TGAACCTTTTCCTGTTTTATTTGCTCCAGTCGCCTTTAGAAGAGATTAAAACTTCAGACAGAATCAAGTATATGGCCTTTCCATGCCAATGGACTGAGGCTATAGGAAGGCCATGGCTGTTTTTACTAGAACCTGGGGGGTAATGAGGGAGGGTAAACCAGGCCTAAGGGTAAGTGCAGGAATTTTGTTACTGGCATTGTCCAGCCTGAACTATTCCTGAGTATTACAGTAGCTTTTTTAATTAAAACATTGAGTGTAGGGAGCTTGGTCTTTTGATGTTGCTATAGGAATTTGGCAGTCTGCAGCTGGACCTACAAAGCAAGCCAGGCCTGGGTTTAGGGATTTTACTGCCTACTGATTGTTATGGGGACCACCACCCAAGTATTGAAACCCACATTCTATAAACAGGAAGGAAATCAAGTTTCATTGGGTCATAGCATTTCCATGAACCCTGGGGGGCGGTTGCCCTCATAACACGCAAACCCCTTTAGAAACAGGAACATGAGAAGATAATTCCATTTTGAGATTACCCCTGTCATAGAAATGAGTATCTGAACTGACTGATCCAATACAGCCTAAAGGCAGGGGAAATATCTTATATGATCTTGAGAACCTACCTAGCCTTCTAATTCTGGAGTTCAGCAATGGCCTTGAGTCTTTGTTTTGGCAAACATTAGGTGGAGAGGTGAGCAGTAATTTTTTGGTTTTTTTGTTTGTTGGTTCAATGGGAAAGAAAAAATGGATGATAACAAAGTTGTGGATAACATGAGCTGGGTAGACAACCAGAATAGAGGAATTCAATGTATATGGTAGATAAATAGATAAGTAGATAAATAGATAGGGATAGATAGATAGATAGATAGATAGATAGATAGATAGATAGATGGATAGATAGATAGACAGATAGCAGATAGACAGACAGAAGATAGATTTAAATGTAGCAATGATTTTTTGTTCATTTGTTTTACCAATGGGAGCCAGTAGAAAATGAATTCCAGTCTGAAGATAGAAATAAATCTTTGGCATTTGTGTATGAGACTCAGGGACACTATTAGAATGAAAAGAGAAGGATTTTGCTATAACTCAATTCAATTCAACAAGCATTCAATATGTGCCTACTAAGTGTAGAGCCATAAACCCTAAAGAAGGTTATCAATATTTTCCCTGCTTATCGAACTGGACTATTGTGAGAATAGAATAAGAGAATAGTCATGAAAGTGCTCCTCAAAGCTATTTGGGCTAAATAAATCTGAATTAGAACAATACATTTCAGAACTAAAAGGAACCTCTGAGATCCTTTATTCTAACCACCCTCATCTTACAGAAGGGATTGCCAAAAACAGAATCCTGCCTCAGACAGCTATGTGATCCTGGATAAGTCACTCACCTTGCCTCAGTTTCCTAATCTACAAAATGATAACAATAGTACCAACCTCCATGATTGTTGTAAAGATCAAATGAGATAATAATTGGGAAGTGCTTGGCAAGCCTTATAATGCTGTATAAATATTGGATCTCTTTGTTTTTTCCCTCTTTGGACATGTATTTAACAATGAAGTCTGGCTCAAAATTAACAGTTCAGTTACTTTTGCCTCATATAATTCCAGATTTTTTTCCACACTGTCTGAAGCAATTAATATCTTTACCAACAATGTATGAGTATACCTTGTGTTCTCATAGCCCCCCCATCCTTGACAATTTTCCTCTTTTTGATGTCTTTACCAACTGCTTGGTTGTGAGGTGAAACATGAGAATTGTTTGTACTTCTGATATTAGTGATTTAGAACAATCTGTAATATGGTTGCTGATTATTTGTAGTTTTGAAAACTGTGTTCCTATCCTTTGACAACTTCTCTATTTTGACCATGGAATCTTGAGGACTCTGTCAGCAGGGCACATGCTCTGACATGCCTACCAATCAGGAAAGCCCTCAGGTCTGGTCAGCATGTTTGGCATCTGAGAGTCAGCCCACGCAAATTCTAGAAAGGCTCATCACCAAGCTGGCATACAAGGGGATGAACTTCTTTAGACCCAGAAAATCTCAAAAGCCATCTCCTAAGTTAGAGGATTTACAAATTGAACTAATGAAGGGAGTAGCCATGCATCAGAAATCCCTAAAGTATTGGAGTAAATAGTATATGCAAGAATGATACTATGGGTATGATGAAGAATTCTACAACAGGGTACATGCTCACAGGGAGCTTACAATACAGCTAAGGAGACCAGAAATAGTTAGAAAAAGGTGATTCTTTGCCAAGTGACATGCCAACTGACAAATGTGTCATATAAGTGGCATGAGCCATCACCATCCAAATAATGTAATCTCTTTGATGGCAAGGGTTATTTCATTTTTTCTTTGTATTTTGGGTTCCAAAAACAATGCCTAGCACGTAGTAGGTGCTTAATAAACTTTTGATTGACTGATTTGAAAAGCAATGAGAGTTCCTTATGGAGTAAATCCAGGAGAACTTCCTAGAGAAGGTAGGACTTGAAATAGTGCCTGAAATAATGATGGCTGCATTATACCAGTAACATAATAATAACTCACATTGACCATAGAGTGTTATGCCATCAGAGATGAACCAAAGGAGCATAGAGACATTTTAAGGCAAAAATAGCAATGAGCAGACGACTAAGGCAGAGTTTGATTAGAGAAATAGTGGGCATTAGAATGTAAAGGACAGTGTGGCATCTTAGAAAGGGTTGTGGGCTAGGAATCAATTCAACTTAATCAACATTATTAAGCCCCTAACATACTAAACACTGTGCTGTGCATTGAGGGTACAAAGGCAAAAACAAAATACTCTCTGCCCTCAAAGAGCTTACATTCTTTTGGGATGATGGGAGAGGGGCAACTCACATAAATAAATAAATATGAAATACATCTAAAGCAAATGCAAAGCAATACTGGTGGGGAGAGTCAAGTAAGAAGAGAGTACTAATAATAGGCAGGATGAGAATAAATCTAGTGAAGGAAGTGGCCTGTAAACAGAGCCTTAAAGGGAACTAGAGATTCTAGGGGGCAGAAGCAAGGAGTTAGGACATTCAAGACAAAAGGGATAGCCTGTGCAGAGGCACACAGGTGAGAGGTGGAATGTTGTATATAGAGAAAAACTTGGAGATTCATTTGACTGGTATGTCAAGTGTATATGGAGGAATAATGTGGAAAATAGTCAGACCCATAATGTTTTCAGTCATCTTTCAGTCATAACTGATTCTGTGACCCTAGTTGGGGTTTTCTTGGCAAAGATACTGCAGTGGTTTACCATTTGCCATTTGCCATTTTGCTAATTCCTTCTCCAAGTTTTATGTAACACCCATAACATAAAGGGATTTAAATGCCAGACAAAAGTTTTTGTAGTTCATCCAAGAGGCAAGAGAGAGCCACTGAAGCTTCTTCAGCTGGCAAAAGACATGGTTAGCTTTGTGCATTGATTAGTCAACATTAGTCAAGAGAGAAGTAGGTTCAAAATCCATCTCTTTTTCTTATTTGATGTAGTATCTCATACAGATTTCTTTGCCTCTCTTTTTCTGTCTAGACAATGTAATGGAATTAAGGCAATATTACTTTGTTGTGAGGATTGAATAAGATGATGTCAATAAAGCCTTTGTAAAACTTATGACTCTGAATTTGGAACTAAGCCCAAAGGGCTATAAAACTGTGCATACCCTTTGATCCAGCAACACCACTGCTAGGTCTGTATCTCAAAGGGATCCCAAAAAAGGGAAAAGGACACAACAATATTTATAGCAGCTTTTTTTGTAGTGGCTAAGATTTGGAAATCAAATTGAGGAATGGCTAAACATGTTGTGGTATATGACTGTGATGGAATATTATTGTGCTACAAGAAATGACAAGCAGGATAATCTCAGAAAAACCTGGAAAGACTTACATGAACTGATGCAAAGTGAAGTGAGAAGAACCAGGACAAAGCTGTACACAGCAACATTGCACATGAAGAACTGTGGATGATTTAGTTATTTCAGCAATACAATGATCCCAATCCCAATCTCAATCTGAAAGGACTCATGATGAAACATCCTATCTGCATCCAGAGAAAGAACTGATATTATCTGAATACAGACTGAAGCATATTGTCTTTCCCTCCACCCATCCCTTCATTTTTCCCTTCCTTCCTGCCTTCAAGTCTTCTTGTTCAAAATTACTAATATGGAAATATTTTGTATGACTGGCCATGGATAACCTATATCAGACTGCTTACCATCTCAGGAAAGTGGGAGGGGAGGGAAAGTGGGAGGGAGGGACATAATTGGAACTCAAAATTAAAAAATAAATACGTTAAAATTATTTAACATATAATTGGGGGAAAAATTTTATTTAAAAAAAAAAACCTTCTGGCTGTGTATAAATGCCAGATATTTTGAGCTGTTGATCACCATCCACCAAGAACTTGGACTTTGATCACCACCAGCTTCCATCTTTCTCTTCCATGAGAAGCCAAGGGAGTTGAAGGTTGGTAGTCCCATCTAGGTGTGGTTGAAGTTTTAGTGATGTCTTCCAGTGGAATTGTTTGAAGTCTTGATGCACTTCCATTTGTTATATATTACTTTTCAACCTATCCTACACCCAACAAAGTGCAATAGTTCAGATGTTATTTTAAAAAAATCCTTCATTAATGACACAACTCCCCTCTGTAGCTTTCCACAGTTTTATTAACCATAGTAATTAAAGAGATTTCCAGCTAAACATGGCAAATCTCATTGAATTTACAAATTTATATCTAGAAAATCACAAATCACAAAGAAAAACACTATAGAAATCACAATAGAAAATCAATATCACAAAGACTTCCTATTCCTCTTCTCCCCCTCCACGTGACTCCCAAACTGACTCCCCAAGTTCACTTTCCATGTAAAAACAAAAATAAACCCTTATACAATCAGTAAAGTATTCAAATCTCATAATAAATAATTGCCCCATGACAAAGTGAAATTGTTCTCCAAAGCATGTTCCTCAACAGCACTATTTTTTTTTACAGACGAAATAAAAGGAACAGATGTTAACACACTTCTGCCAAAACTGCAGTGAGCCCAGAGCTGTGAAGCCCATGTTGGAGGAGAGACGTCACTGCAGCAGGCACAGCCTTAGCCCAGCCCAGAGAAGTAAACACAGGAAACAATGAGACAACAGGCATGTGCACAGGACATACAGTTGGTCCATTGATGTCTTTTCCAAAATTGAAGGCTTCTGAAGCCATTTTGCCAATATATAGCCCGGGCTGACTTTTTAAAGTTCATCCTACTCATCGTCAGCTTTTCTTGTTACAGAAATGTCTACAAGTACAGCAAGTGTTATTCTCTGAGGAATAAGTAGAGAGGGGGAAGAATAAGTAATGTAACTCCAGAGCAAAAATTTGTAACCTTTCTGGTGTTAGAGACCCCTTTGGCAATCCTCTGAAGTCTATGGACACCTTTTCACACCAATTTTTATAAATGCATAAATGAGAATATGAAAGAATTATGCTTAGGCATTCTTTCCAATTACTCTTTCCTTCTCTCCCTTTCTTCCTCTCTTCTTTCCTCCCTTCCTTCCTCCTTCCCTTCCTCCCTCCCTTCCTCCTCTTTCTCCTTTCCTCTGTCCTTTCTTCCTTTCCTATTTTCTTTCCTTTCTCTTCTTTCTTCCTTTCTCCCCTTCCTTCCTTTCTTTTTTCCTTTCCTCCTTTCTTTCCTTTCTTCCCCTTCCTTTCTCTTTCTCCCTTCTTTCTCTTCTTCATCCCTCTCTTTTCTTCTTTTTTCTTCCCACTTAATTTCTTCCTTCTTTCTTTCCTTCCTTTATCTCTTTCTTCCTTCCTTCTTTCATTTCTTCCTTTTTGCAAAAAGCTTCACAGAATGAATTGTAAATGACCTTAGCAGCCATGAAATCTATCAGATACATGAAAGGAATTCTCACTAAAACATACAACATTAAATTTATTATATTATATAAATGTGTGGTTATAATAGCATAGATTTTGAGCTGGAAGGAAATTCACAGATTATCTAGAAGGGAAAAAAACCCTTTATTTTATAGATGAGGAGTTTGATGGGATTAAGGGAATTTGTCCAATATCAGTATCAGAGGTGGGTTTGAATCCAGGCCCTCTGACCCCAGATTGAGTGTTTTTTTTCTCCCATCATGCCATACTCAAGTAGACTTATGGCTTGACCTATGTGCAAGAAGTGGGATAAAATATATCATCCAGGGTAGGTGTAACCAGAACAGAAGGAATATCAGAAAATGAGAATGCTGCAGTAATACTCATTAAATACTAAAAGACTTAGAGAAGAAAGAATAAACTCCCAAACCAGATGGATTTACAATTGAATTTTATCATTCAAAGAAAAATTGAACTGTCTGTAATAATATGAAAGGAAGGTACCCTTCCAATCTTCTTCTATGATAAAAATACGATCTTGATACCTAAGCCAAGGAGAGACAAATCAAAAAAAGAAACTATAGAGCAATATGCTATGAACATTGACAGAAAACTTTTTTGAATAAAACATTACTGAAAAGCCTACAACAACTCATTAGAAATATTACGTACTATGACTAGATTGAATCCATGCTGAGAACAGAAGTTGGTTTAGCATAAAGATGCTAATTTTAATAAATTATGCTAATAATATAAATAACAAAAACCACATATTATATAGAGGCTGAAAACACTTTTGACAAATTCCCAAACTATTGAAATTAGAATTAAAATCCTAAAAAACATAAGAATACATGGACCTTCCTTTAATTTAATAAGGAATAACCATGTAAAACCAAGAACAAACATTATATGTAATGAAAAAAGTTAGAGGTCTTCCAGTAAGAACAGGGCTAAAGCAAGGATGCTTATAATCACTACTATTGAACATAATACTACAAATATTAACTAAAACATTAAGAGATAAACATAATATAAAGGAAACAGAATTATCACTTTTGTAGATGATATCATATTTTACTTAGCAAATGCTGGAGTCAACCATAAATTAATTGAAATAATAAATGCAACAAAGTTGCAGGATATAATATAAATCACCAATATTTTTTATTATGTACAAAAACCCAGTAGAAAGACTTAGAAAGAAAAATCCCATTGAAAATAGCTACAGAAAGAATAAAGAATTTGGGAGAGTTTATACTAAGATACTAGGAATTATATGACCCCAACTATAAAACATTCTGTAGAAATAAAGACAGACCTAAATAATTACAGGAATATTCATTGCCAATGGGTAAGTTGAGACAGGGTTTGCTCCCTGAGTGAGACTGGATTAGTTCAAATCCCTAGGTGCAACCAAGAAGGATCACTCTTTCTAGATCCTGGCTCTTTGAAGAAGGCAGAGTTCCATGTGTATTCCTGAGTGTGCCTTGTCACTTGTAGATCCAGAATCTATGATCTTTAAGTTTCTTTATCTTTGGAGTAACTAGTTGAATTGATGGAGGACACAAGAAGACTAAGCTTTAAAAACTGGTGAGGATGTTATTTGTAGGAAAATGTTTTTTAAAGGGCCTTAACCTGTAGTTTTTTGTGTATATATACATTTATGCATATAAGTATACATATAAGTACATATGCATAGGCACACACACATATTTCATATATTGTACATGTTTGGACAACAGAGGAATGAGGAGTGGGACTGATAGAGAGGTTAGACATAGTGCTTTTAAAAGAGACAGAATGGATTAGAATGTTGGACTTAACATTACAAAGACCTATATTCAAATTCTATCCCTAAAAGTTTTTAGCTATGTGACCCTGGATAAGTAAATCATTTGATATCAATGTGATTCAAGTAAATCCATAGGATTCTACTAGTAATCATATATTTGCATTGATGGACAGAGTTCCCACACTGGGAGTCTCACACGGTAGGTGAAAAAAATCACAGATCCTCCAAAAATTGCATATGCCCATTCAACTAATATTTGAACTCTTTGCTATAGTGGATAGGGCAGTGGATTTGGAATCAAGAGGGAATTGGTTCAAATGAGATAATGTTTATAAAGAATACTTGGAGCATTGTAAAAAGTTTAGCTATTTTTTGCTGTTTGGAAGGTATTATCCTAGACACACTATGGTCATGTGTATATACAAAGTATCTTCTTTATCATTTTTGTTATAAATTGTTATTGTTGTTCATTCATTTTTCAGTTGTGTACAACTTTTGTGACCATATTTGAGGTTTTCTTGGCAAAGATTCTGGAGTGGTTTGCTATTTCCTTCTCCAGCTCATTTTACAGATGAGGAAACTGAGGCAAACAGGGTGAAGTGACTTGCCCAGGGTCACACAGCCAGGAAGTGTCTGGCCAGATTTGAATTCAGGAAGATGAGTCTTCCTGACTCCAGGCTTGGTACTCTTTCCACTGGGCTACCTAACTACTCACTACATTTGCTCAATTGGTGTACACACACTCTACCTTCTAGAAATCCTGAGGAAACATCTTTTGGGAAACAGCTCAATCCACCAATTAACAAATAGTCAGTCAACAAACATTTACTTGTTAAGCACTTACTATGTTGCCAAGCACTGTGCTAAGCTCTGAGAACATATATACCAGCAGAAAGAAAACCTGTCCCTGTCCTCAAGGGACTTGCAATGTAATGGGAGGAAGATAATGCCCAAAAAAGGAGCTCTGTGAGAGGGCATGATAGGAGAAGTCCTGTGGAGATGAATCAGCAGTGCCAGCCTGAGAGGAATAAGACCTTTGGCCTGGGCATAGTCCTTCAAACGGGGGTTCTGGGAGGAACCAGCCAATAAGAAATTGGGGCCTCAGGGATGGACAGTGCTTCCAGTGAGAGAAATAGTCTACAAGAGGAATGAGCTTCCAGAGTAAAGAGATATCTAAGACATGGCAGAGAAAGTCCTGCAGAGAAGTGCCAGGCATGGAGCTTAGGGCTAGTGATACAAAGACACAAGTGAAATAGGGCTTGCCCTAGGGATGTTTACGTTATGAAAGACCCCTAAAAACAGACAAAAGTTAACCTTGGATGAGAAGGCACAAGTGGGACTTTCCGCCTCTTGAGTTGAGTGTTAAACAAAAGCAAGGTTTGAGTCATGAAGTTGAATGTTGAAGAAAAGCAAGGCTTCTAAGAGGCACAGATGAGGAGGGAGAGTGTCCTAGGGAGGAAGAGATGGATGCAGGGATAGAGATGGAGAACTGTGGGAGGGAAAGCAAGTTGAAGTGTATGGCAAGACAGTAGAGTGTGATGAGGAGAGTAACACGTAACAAGCCTAGAAAAGCCAAAGAGAGGTATTAGTATTTGATTCTGGAGGTAGTAAGGAGACACAAGAGTATATGGGAGTGGTAGTGATGTGGCCAGATTTGTACTGTTGAACAATCATTTTTGTGGCCATGTGGATGGTGGATTGGATTGGGGATACACAGACTTGAGGCAGAAAGACCAATGAGGAGGCTATTGTAGTAGCCCAGGTGAGAGATAATGAGGGCTTGAACCAGATGCTAGATGCCTAAGTGGAGATTATGGGGAGAGAAAAGACAAGATTTGGCAAGAGATTCAATATGGGAGTAAGTAAGAATGAGGAGTCAAGGATGACTGGAATTTAGGGTTGGAAGGGGCCCCAGAAGTCACCTAGTCTCATCTATACCAGGGCAAGAATCCCTCCACAGAATCCCTGACAAGAGGTCATCCACCCTTAACTTGAAGACCCCCTGTGATGTGAAGCCCACTATCTCCCAGGGCAGGCCATTCTACTTGGGGATGGTTTAGTTCAACAGCCTCATTGGGAAATACATTTCCCCATCCCATATGTATTTTTTATTTGTTTATTTGTTTTAAGAAAGGTAGACTGGAATGTGTAATGAGAGTAGGTTGGGATTATCTGAGGCTTCACAAAATCTAGACTTATTTATCAGGAAAATGGATTCTCTCATTGGATCCAGGTAATAAAATTCTCCCTATCAGTGGGCAGCAAAGCCTACAAGATACGTCTATCACCATGGCAGATTAACCAGTGACCGGATCGGTGCCTTCCTTGAACATTAAGACATCCCTCATGAACTCCTGGGGTTCTTGGTGAAGAAAGCCTCAAAGGCAGCCCTACTAGTCACTGATTTTCTCCATAGAACCTTTCCAACCACACTCCCTCTCAGGGGACTGAGGATATGATGCAGCTGAGACTATTAGCATGTGAAATTAAGATGAATAATACACCGAACACTCCAAATGTCTATGATAATGGTGAAAAGCAGGCTTCAAACAGAATGAGATGAAATGGAACAAATGAGATGTCAACATCCATGGCCCATAGCACTGAACACACCACGCACTCACACATACATATGCACTCTGTATTTGACTCTTCATTCTCCTACCTTGTAAATGGTGCTCCATAAACATTATTTTATTAACTTAGCATATCATTCTCAAGAAAGGAGATCCACCATAGGAGATTGCTCTGTATAGTGATACAGTGATATAGTGTAAAGAATACTGGCTCTGGAGATATAAGGGATCCAGGTTCAAATTCTGCCTTTGTCATTTACTGTTGAAGAAAAGCAAGGTTTCCAAGAGGCAGAGATGAGGGGGGAGAGCA